TCCTCACGGGACTCCCGGGGCCAGGCTGCACCCCACCTGAGGGGGCCAACTGCCATGCCAGGCTGCTAACTTTGCATGAACCACCAAATTACTACTTGCAAATTAAAGCCACAAGAAAAAAAAAAAACTTCTCATTTCAAAATCAGGTATAAATTAAGATCTTTTAAAGAACTGAACATAAGAATTTCAAGCTTCTGGGGGGAAGTGGGGGCTAAAGAGAGGGAAGCATGTTGGTAACGTACATCCAGTTGAACAAGCTCAAATCGCATACTTTTGGAAAACTGCTTCCAATTTAAGTGTCATCATCCTCTTCTTGGGATGTTCCATTGACTGACGGCTCACTGGGATATGCTTGCCAATTAGTTTAGACTGTCAGTTTGTCAAAACAGAACTTTCCAAGTAATGTATCTACTACCTAAATATATTCCATACATCTATATTACGGAAACAATACATCTTTATATTTAAAATATCTGAATAGCTCTATAATACAATATACTTTTAATAACAGTACAAACCAGAGGAAATAAATCAAACAAGGCTGCATAGGTAATACCATTTGCACGTTCCACAAAGCAATCATGTACAATACCTAGTATACTAATTACTCCAGAAAGTCAGTATTCTTACAAAGAGCTAGCAGAGGCCACATAATGCTCGCTTTCACAACAGCCTTTCCCTGGACTTGACTGTACCCCAGGGAGCGACCAGGATTCCCATTAGGATCTCAACACCAAGAAAAATTGGGGCTTGGAGGGTGTTCACTCAGGAGGAAGAAGAGTCTTTCTAAAATGTCCCTGTATAAAGCAGTCTTATTTTGCCAGTGACTTTAGCTACTGCCTCTTCCATGGCAAGCGGGGGCTTGGGGGCTTGGAGGCTGGTAATGATGGTAATGTAATAGGACGAAGGAAAAGGGGAACAGTGGTGAGAACATGAGTACTTGGGCACCTGCAAGTTCTACTACACACACGCACGCATGCATGGCACTGCTTGGAGGAATTAAGGTTTCTAAAACCAGTCGATTTAAAGTGGTAGCTATTTAATAAGTTTTCTAAAGGCTAAAAGTTACAGAGGGAAGCTTACGAGAGCTGGCCTACTGCTGGGAATCTATCGGGAACACTTGTTCCCCTGTAAGACATGCAGGCCAGAGATACAATTAACACACAAGACAAAAATGTGTGGGGTGGGCTAAGTACATGGAAACTAGCGGCTTCCCAAGAAGGCAGGGACAACTGCTCTGCACCTGTTCCTTGTATTGTGATCACATCGGGTATTCCACATGACTTGAAACTATTGATGGACTGAATGGGGTACAAAACCAATTAACTTGGTCTGTCAGTTAACTGCAAAGTATTAAAACATAATGATCAGAATTGCCATTTAGGTTGCTAACGGCTGGAGAAAAGTCTCTAATTCTAACAGAAGCTAAGCTTTTTCAAACATATTCAAACATATAAGCTTGCAGATGGTTTGTTGATTTCTAAATGAAGCACCTCCATGTTCAAACAAGCTGAATTCCACTTAGTAGCCATCTGCATTTACTAAAACAAAGGCAGCCGACAAAAGCACTCAAGTTCCATTTTATGACTGCTCCCTCTTCAACTGAAATTTCTGTAGCATGATAAGTCCTCTGCTGGACAAGAGGCAAAGAGGGATGAAAAGTTAGTATGGACATGATTCCTCAAGATATGGCTGGAAGAAAAAAACCAACCTCCATCTACTCCAAAAGAGCTGAGAATTACAAAGAAGAAAGTGCACTGCAGCTCAACTCCACAGTATTCAGCTCATCATGCTCCCTAACCTGACAAGGGAGCGTTGTTTCAAATCCACATCTCCCTTTCTGATCTAGAAACATTATGAGGCCTCCCAGGAATGACAGTAGCAATGCAAGACACAGGCATCTATCCAAAGACTCAACACTACGTGGTGCACATGATTCACAGAGTAGTCATAGAAGCATGTGAAATTCCTTTAAAATACACAGATAAAAACGTATTAAGTTTTCATATATACGAAACGCCAAGTGTCCATAAACTATACATCACTTTCCTGCCCAGGTAGGATCAGAAATGTTGAGTATGCAAGTACTAATTACAATGATTTAAGGTCAGTCTGAAACGTCACCAAGTAGCATCCCAAAGTGTACAAACCAGTTAAAACACGTATAAAATTAGTACTAATCCAGTTAGAAATACAAAATGAAAACGATGAATGTTACCCCAAATACCTGTGATTCCACAAATTTACAAGCAGACAATGTAACAAAGTAGACTCTAGTTTTAAGAAAACATTACAATTCAGTATCTATTCCAAAAATGATCTCAAGTCCCAACGATAACATCAAAAGTCATTTTTCAAGAAATTAGAACCATTCAAATGTTTGTACAAATTTTCAAATAACAAAATAAACAAACAAAATAGAAAAAGACCTGTACAAAGCTGGCATTTAATCTCCCCTCCCCACCAAAAAAAAAAAAAATTGACAAGTCCATTATTCAGCAGATTGAAAAACAGGCTACTTGGTTCTCATGTGAATCCTGCGGCTTCATGACCAAGTCCAAAGGTCCAAAGCTGTTCCGTGGAGGTGCAGAAGAGATCTAGGCTCTTTGTGATTCGTCAGTTTGGCGGAACACAGGTAGTACAAACCAAAGCTTAACTTATCAGGACATGAGACCATCACAGTATTACAAAAAAGAGTATAAACTTTCCTTGGACCAAATGGATATTAAAAAAAAAAAACACATACACACACATACAAATACAATTCTGTATCTACTGCTTATATACAAAACTTGAAAGCACACTGGGATATGAAAGTCTTCTCTGCAATTATATGGTGTAGTGAGTTTGGCACTTCATTGTAATGAAATTTCCAATGGCACAGTCCTTATCTACAGCAGCACATAACCTGCAAACAGTGGGCAAACATCCTGTACAGGAAAAGTGTCTTCGCTGCCAAGTCTGACGAAAGGAAAAAAAGAAGGATTTTCTTTCCTTTTTTTTTTTTTTTTTTTTTTTTTTTTACCAAATCAAGAAAACTAAAAGGAAGGGTGAAGGACATCTTTGGACTGCTTCTCTCAGTTCCTGCTGTCAGATAATTTGAAGTACTTTTAAGTGTAGCCTAGGAAAAAACACACACACAGTGAAAATACAGCCGAATTAAAATCAATTCAACTTAATGTATTAGAGTGACAGACATCCTTAGAAAAGGGTGGGGCAAGGGCGGGGGGGGTGGATAAACTGGAGCTTTCTCAAACAGCTTTAAAAATCATTCAGTAGAATTTCACTTCAATAAAAACTCCCCGCATTTCATTTGTATCAAATGTATTCAATTTATTGAAGAGCTCCTTAAAAGATGCAGCTAACGAACTGTCAGAAGGGAATGTTGAAAGGGCTTTCAGGAAGCTTCCTTATGTTTAAACTCAAAAGAAAAATTGACGAGCTGCATGTGAGGGTGGAGAGCGATGACAAAAGGCACCTCCCTGAAAGGGGCAGTCAGTTGACATCAAACAGGAACTAACCAGGAAGACACGTGCCAAGTGACTGCGCCCCTCTCTTTTAAGTGCTGCTTTTCAAAAAAGGCCATTTTGAGCATGGGATGGACTTACCTGCTCACGCCTAGCCTGACACCCAGCTGTGTGTCGTCGTCTTGACACTGTGTGGGAAGCTTTGGTTGGGCAACACGTTGTCAAAGTTAAAATCCAACGTGTCTCCATCCATGAGGTCATTCCGAATGATGGACTCCATGTCACAGTCCAAGCGCTCGATGAACATGCCATCCAAGTCACTGGGGAGCTTCTCCTGGTGGAGAACGCCCATCCTGCCGTAGCCGTTGCAGCTGCTCACTGATGAGTAGCTGCCCAGGGCGTTCATCTGCATGGGGTGGGGCAGAGGCACTTGTAGAGGTGTCTTCACTTGGGTCAAGCGGTTCAGACCAGAGGTGTGAGGCATGGTGTTCACCGCGTGTGGCAGAGCACGCCCGTTAACTGCAGACGATTGCTGAGTGTGTCCAGGGTGGGAATGGGAGCTGGGATTCATCATTTTGTTATGAGATGCCTGGTTGCCATAGGCTGGCATGACCGAATTAGGGCCCATCATCACATTCTGGCCCAGGACCCGGCTGCTGGACTGGGCCACTCCAGGATCAACTGGTGACATAATGTCATTATGGGGAGGAGAATCAGAAGTAAGTAACTCCTTCAAGAGTCCTGGTGCACAGTTGTACTGATTCAAGCCTCCATAACTTGACTTGTTGTCCTGGAGGGTTTGCATAGGCATCTGGGGCAACGGGCTCATGCTGGATTGGCCATATGTGTATTTTTGGTAGTTTGGGCTGGGTGAATTCAGACTGGTGTTTTGAGGCGCAAACGAGTAGCATGGCGTCTGCTGCATCATGCTGCCAGGTGACGACTGAGTAGAAACAGTTAATGATGTTGGTGATGAGAGAAGATTAAGATTATCCAAAAGGTTTTCCATGTTTTCGGGGTTGCTTATTTCAGACAGGCTGGGCAGGGTAGATGCCATCTTGGCAGCGGATGGTGGGTACACCATAGAATGCACATCACCATCTCCGAGATCATCTTGCTCGGTCATAATTGGGGACAGCCTCCCACTAATGGTACTAGCATTTGAGCTAGTTCGAGGGCGAAATGTACTCCAGTTATCAAAGTCATCATTGCTGTGAGAGCCAGGGCTTGCAGGCCACTTGGAGAACTGAGATCCAGGGCTGTCCCCAGCACCTTCCTGCCCAGACTGGAGAGACGCTTTTTTCTTGGCAGCTCGGCCTCGGCTCTTGGCAAATTTACTGTTGTTGTCCATGGATGCAGCTCTCCTCCTGGGGGATTTTCCACTCTTGCCACCCTCTGGATTGAGCATCCACCAAGAACTTTTTCCAGTGCCTTCATTCTGCACACGAATGAACTTGCTGTGTAGGGATAGATTATGACGAATTGAATTCTGCAAAACAAAACAGGGTGTCAGAACCGTTAACACTTCGATGCTGGGAAAACTTCTCTTAACAACACATGTCTCACATTAGGCATGCGTAGTTTTCATTGTTTAAGGTATGGATTTCCACTTTAACAGTGACAACAGTTTGGAACTGTCTACAAAAGCTCTTAAACTGCCAAAGGAGGAACAGCATGTTATCTTGAAAATAATATCCATATCTTACTTTAATGAGAGGACAAACCAGGCTTTACTATAAGTGGCTCTTTTATGCAGCCATATTTTATGAGGAAATTACAGGGAGTGGTTTCAAAACCACTAATATTTTTGTTTAGCTACAACGCAAATATGTAGTACTCTGAATAAAGTGTTATCAATAGCCTTTTCCATTCTTCTGTCAATTCTCCTTAGACCGAACACATGCCATTTACTAATGTGAGAAGGTTTCTATTACTGGGCTCATGTGGTTATGACAAAGTAAAAGCAGCAGCACATTCCCAGATCAAAACTGAAAGCCGACACACCAGTGCGACCTCGACTCCTTCACACCCTCCAAGCCCACTAGGCACAGAAAACTCAACATAGAGAACAGCTACTGTTTAACCTCGTAACAAAGGTGACATCCCTGAAGCAAAAACACTTAAACCCAACAAGTGTCCCCCTCGCCCTCCTTCCACTCTCCACATCGCCAGAGGTCCAAGCAGGCAGCCTGAGCCCACTAACAACATGAAGCGGTTAAGAACGCAAACGTCCCAGCCTTTCGGCTGAGGACAGCACTTGGTGACTAATCCTGCCACAAGTCCCCTTCCAGTGAAGAAGTGCAGCACTTGGATCTGAGCACTCGCTACCTTCGTGACCTCAGGACGCTGCTTGACCCATGTGTGTCTTAAGCTTCCACCACTGTGTAACAAGTAAAAAAAACATACAGGGTTGCTGTCTGGGTTGAGACAGACCAACATGCTCAGCAGTGCCATCCAACAAGCAGCTGCCAGGGAAGAGTTCTCAGATCCCAAGTTTGTGGGTACAAAATATGCCATCCTGGGCCTGGCGGCGTGGCCTAGCAGCTAAAGTCCTCGTCTTGAACGCGCCGGAATCCCATATGGGCGCCAGTTCTAATCTCAGCAGCCCCACTTCCCATCCAGCTCCCTGCTTGTGGCCTGGGAAACAGTCGAGGACGGCCCAAAGCTTTGGGACCCTGCACCCGTGTGGGATACCCGGAAGAAGTTCCTGGATCCTGGCTTTGGATCGGCATAGCATCGGCCATTGCGCTCACTTGGGGAGTGAATCATCGGATGGAAGATCTTCCTCTCTGTCTCTCCTCTTCTCTGTATATCTGACTTTCCAATAAATAAATAAAACCTTGAAAAAAAAATACGCCATCCTAAATCCTGTTTCCCTGCTTCCATTCAGCGGGCAGGACACATGAGAGAATCTTTTAAATGGAATAAAAACAATTTTGTTTTACTGTAAAAATTTTTTTACAATTTATAATGCCCTCATAATATGCATTTCCAATAAACTTCCTAAAGCTCTTTCATATGCAAGTATTTCAATTTTTTAATATAAAATGAAATTTTAATTTCAATTTTAACAAACTTCTGAAGTGCTTTGTGCAAACTTACAATTGCAAATCTAAGGCGAATGGGGTGAGAGACAGTCTTAAGCCTCAGTGCAAACTTTTTCTGAGGGTGGATACAGACCAGAAGGCCCTCACCTTCCACTACCCGGGAGAGCCCATGCCACACCCTAAGCTCCTTGGAAGAAGGACCCTTGGATGAACAACTTTCCATTCCTGCACAGGTGTGGACATGGTCCCTATTGTTCACTCAGCAGCCTTCCTCCCCAGGGGCTGATTCAAATCCAGGAAGAGAATTCGGGTTACCCAGACCCCCAGGAGCAAGACTGTGTACACTGCCCCAGGGAGCCCTTGGCCTCCTCTGCCAACTGAATGCCAGGTTTAGCATACCTAGCACCTGCAACCCGGTGTTCACCATCACAGAAGGCTCTGGCTGGATCTGTGGTCAGCCAGGGACACAGCCACAGTGTCCACATCCTCAAGTCACCACCATGGGACACAAATGCCCAAGTGTCAACCACTTTGCCGCAGCAGCATCAGCACAGAAGGACAGGTCCCTGTTCCAGCACCCATGTGAGGTCAAGCCACTGCTCATTAAAAGGAGGTAGCAAACAGAAAACAGGAAAGGGGAGACCTTACTTTCTGGAAGGAAGTACTAAAGTCAAAGTGGGCCTGAGAGCTGGAGCTGAGAAGCCTAGCTTTCCCAGTGCCTTTTGACCCTCTTTTCTACATTCCATCCAAGGATTCCAACACAGCAGCTCTGTGACAGCCCTCCTGCCAAGGCACATTGAGAACCAGGGGCAAGCAGTCGCTTCCTGGCTGGATGCTGAGCAGGTGTGTGAGCAAACCGCAGTGACAACTTCCAAGATTGGCCATGTGGCCCGCCTCTGATCTCTACCCCATCTTGACAACTGCAAGGAGAACTTGGGGGGCTTCAATTCCATACAAGAATCCCCTGGAGAGGTCAGCACTCTATTTCTGTCATGCCCTATTCCATTCCAATTAAGAGTCTCAAAACCCTATGAGAATGTTCTCTCACACATTTATACATGCAAGCTCCCACACTCTTAGCTGCCGTGCCCACCCCGACCAGCAACTGAGTTTTCGGTTCCTCCCTAAAAAGAAATGGGCCTGTCCATGGTGTAGTACTGGAATGCTGCCAAAACTCCAACCCTGCTCCCTGCGACAACTTCTGCAGGCTGGAAGGCTGGGCATTTGCACAATATTCCATCATGACAGTTTTGTTCTTGGAACACAATAGACATACAGATAAGCTCTGAGGAAATCTCTGGAGGAGAGGAAGCTCGACTCCTTTCCCTGTCACATTTCGTTAATGATAAAGGGGTAGACAGATCTGCCCAGATAGTGGCTTCCTGGTTGTCTCCAAGGACTTGGGGCCTAGGGGGTGTAGCTCTGCAACTTGCAAAAGGACCCCATCAGACCACTGGCAAGTACAGGGACGCGAGGCTGGGGGAAAACTTTTAATAAGACTGCAGAAGACACAGTAATTAAATCTATAAAAAGTCTGAGAAGTGTCAACTAAGATAGGACATATGCTAATTTCACTATGTACTTTAAAACAAACAAAAAAGGCCCAGCAATGCCTCACTTATCAAAACATCATACTACATATTTTTCTAAGAGGACATTTCAGGTCACTCTGAGTAATAGAGTTGTCTCCTAACTATGCCAACAATTAAAAAAAATTTTTTTCCGAACAGGAAAAGGTTCACTGTGCAAGGCTCATTACATAAATTCCTGTTTTTCACATAGCCAGTAAGACATTGAAGAAGCTAGGATTTCTAAGGGGCGGAGTCTGGAGAGGTAAATCTTGTAAAAATATGTGTTGCTATTAACGATGTTGTGTCTGCACTTCTCTGCTGGCCACAGTGGGGGCTGGGTGGAAGGGCAGCTCACTCATGGGACCAGCAACAGTGCCATCCAAATGTATCCTCTTGAACCTGATGAACTGGCTCGGCGGCAGGACACAGGCAGGTGCAGTGTTAACCCCTTACCCAAATTCTGCATGAAGAAGCCAGATAAGCCTTCTCCCTCTCCACCAACTGTATTCTCTGCATGTACACATGGCTGACATGTACATGCCCAGCCTCCCCTCAGCAGTTCAACACTGCTTTCTTGGGAAGCCAGACTCAGGGAGATGGCCTCCAAGACACTGCGGAGGCTAGGGGTTGCCACCGTGCCCCTGCTTGTTCAACCTGCTCTGCTGCCTGTTTGTAACTCATGGATGTTCTATTCATCTATGTACACTACACACTGGGTTCTGAGCTTCTTACAGGATCAGGGGCTAAGTCTGTATTTAACCTGCTGGCTGACTGACATCCAAAAATCATTCCAGAGGTATGATGCCTTAAAGACAGACCTATTCTGTGCCAAAAGCAGCAAAGAATCTAAGGAGTAATTAGAGGGGCCTGGTGGATTAAGCTGCTGCCTGATGTCGGCAGCATGCACTGGAGCATCAGGTGAGTTCCAGCTGCTCTGCTTCCAACTCAACTCCCTGCTAATGGGCACAGGAAGGCAGCAGTACACATCCCAAATGCTTACGTCCTGCCTTCCCATAGGAAACCTGGATGGAGTTCTTGGTTTCAGCCTGGCGTAGCCCAGGCCATGGTAGCCTTCTGGGGAGGCGGTGGGGGCTGGGGGAGCAGTGTGGAGGAAGGAAGGGGTGAACTAGCGCATGTAAGATCACTGTCCTTCAAATAAAGAGATAAATATTTTTAAAATAATATTTAAAACAAGCAATTACATACAAAACCTGCCTTGCAGAAATGATCTACCTGGGAAGAGCAAATCCATTTAATAGGATAGCTAACAACATACCTGTGATGACTTAGAAATATCAAGCTTTTCCCTCCAAAACTGTTGCCCGTACCCCTCAACCCATTCGCCAAAGCAGGTCTTGATAACCCCATTCAAGGTGAGCCCAGGCAGCCTGTCCGTCTTCTGCTATTTGCAGCACAACTTCTAAGTTGTCATCCTATCTGCTGAATGGGCTTGTAGCTCCAACCTTTCCATGGCTGTTGCAAAGAATAATGGAGGTAATACATGTGAGATGGCTACCTCAATCAATACTAGCTGATGTTATTATTGTAACATATATTGCAATAGCATCTATGAATGTACCTCTATATTAAACATTCCCCTCATTTCTTTTTAGTCACATGCTACCCTGTTCTGACTTGAACCTTATACACACTAGTTATGGACAAAGTGACTAGTTGTGTCTTTTAGGTGGGTAGGCGATTCAACTTCCCCACGTGCTACTGAACCTCAGAATTACAGCACAGCAGATCTGTTAATGTGCTCACGGGCAGAGTCCCTAAACGCCGGAAGTAACCCTGAGGGGCTGCTGCTGCATCACACCACCACTGTGGCTCTCAGGTGCTGGAAACGCTGTCACGGCCACCAGCGTGGGGTCCTGCTGGGGGGCTCCATCAGCCTAACTGCCTTTATGGAAAGGAGAAGCTGCG